CCCCGCCCCCCCATTCTTCCTAGTATACATATGCTGGATATTTGAAAATGGTATATTTAATCACTTTGTCATCACAGGCATCATAGTTTACAGCTATTTGTATTAGAAATTTAGGACAGGAGTGGACTACTGGTCATCAAATCCAGTCCCCCATTATTATATAAATTCACATCATCATATACTCCCTTCCACAAACTTAATGATCTTAAAGGTAATTAGATATCTTGTCCAGGCAGCAGCTTTGAAGGAGTTAACGAAAGGCTTAATCACTTGCGACCAAGCAGCCAATTTGAAACAGCTGCTGTAAAAGACTGAAGCCCAGACAGAAGGGGGCAGCAGGTAGAGAGGTTGTTGAATATGCAACATGGGAGAGAAAGGTCTAAGCAGGAAACATAGGAGGGTAACAGTCGTTAACTACCTTCACTGGGTCCCGAGATCTTGCAATCCAGGCAATTTCAACTGCTTGTAGGAATTTCATTTATTTTCTAGTTTTATAAAAGTACAGAAAGTCAGAAAAGAACTCAACTGGAGAGATATGTAAGTTTCTCCAATCAGTGCTGGAAGGGAGGCCAATGGTCTTTGTTGCTTATTTGACAAACAGAAACTAGTTTGCCGGTCAAGATATTCCTTTATTTAAGCACTGGATATATGAATGTAATTAACAAATATCAATCCAATCTGTTTTGGTTCTAGCATTCTGAAATACTGCATTTACAGTTTCCACGTAAAGGAACTGGATTACCTACAGAAGTGGTCTTATAATTTAAAAGCCCTGAAGCAATATATCAGGAGGTCAGTGAATGATCTTGTTGTTCACCCTCTACTGAACTTCAAACATTTTCCTGGTGCTTTTAAACAGGTTTGAAACTCCATCCACTAGCCAGAGAAAACTTTTTAGTCAAAGTTTCCAGGACGTACACGTACATTTTGACATTCTAACTTTTGGTAACTTTAAGTTAAAAACTTCCAGTATAAGCATGAAAGTATCCAAGACTTTCCATTTAATGATAACAAGATGCTACAGGGTGATACCTAGCTATAATAGCTCATTTGATTTCAGCCTTGGAAACTTTAAAACAGACTTTAAAACACTTATTTTGTAGATCTTCAGTAAGTTTTGAAGTAGAAGAGATGCATCTTAAGCTAAAGCAGTGGTTCTCAACCTTTTGTGTACCGGGACCCATTTGCAAAGATCTATGGCCTGTCCTGAACAACACCCTACTAGCCCTGCTGGTACCTGACCCCT